CCCAAAAATACCTTAAGTGAATTTGACTATGATAAATGGCCATTGAAAATTACCGCGAAGTCCCAAATCATGAATTAAAATATTGTGTCCGAAATAAGGCATTTCAGTACCATTTGCAGAATAAATTACTACTGAAATGCACACCGACTACCCTCTATTGGCAACGGTAATTTTTATGCGAATTACTAATATGCAAATGAGTTTTGTGACGTAGTTTAAAGCAAGATCTTTTCAAATGAGTGACGAAACGTTCTGTGGGTACTTTTCTTCGTATAAAGTAATTCGATGCACTCCTGTGATCGGGACTAGATTCAGAAATGTATATGCATGCATGTATGTATGAATGTATGTGTTAATGTATCCATGTCTATATCTACATGTATCTACACATGTATGTGTGTGTGGTTTACATCAAATAATTAATTTTTTGATACTTTTGTATTTCCTTAGGTTCTTCGATATTGACTGATATGGACCAGGCAAAAATTCGCCTAGTACTCCAAAAAGTGTGACATCGGTGTTTAGTTGTAAACTTATATATAAGGTTTTAAGTAATCTCTCGTATGTAAAAGTTGCTGTTTCTAGATATTCATTCATTAGGACTTAAGCAGTAATATATAAAATGCACCTAGCAATTTTAATTAATATGTTAGTAATCAAATGTACATCGTTTCGAAAGCTCACTATTTATTCACCTTGATCAAATCTCTTTTCCTCAGATCTCTGATTTAATTCTGCATCTAATGGTTTATCTGCTTCATTATCTTGAGTTATGTTTATTTCGTGTATTGACGTACACATGGCTATTATCTGTATTTATTCAGTCACAGACAAACACTGAATTTAAAGGAGGAATTTGAATGCACTAGCAAAATAACTTTGTTAGTGGATCTTGAGAACATGATCAAGAAACCTAAAACAACATATCAACGTAATCAGTTGCAATGCTTCTAAAAATGTACGACTGAGAAAATTATTAGGTCCTTCGACTTCAAACCAGATATCTTTTTATGAAAAGTAACTATTAAACATAATATTTTTTAATTAAATAAATCAACAGCTGCTTGTTGGTGGCTTCAAAACAGTAAAGAATTGATTATATGTTTCTTCTAAAACTTGTTACTAGATAATAATAAGTTATATTTATAAGCATTCCTAATAAAAATTACACCACACTTTTCAAATATTAGTATTAATAATTATATATTAATAATTAAGTATTAAATGAGATTTTACCGGTTAATGGCAGTTTTTAGCACACCCTCATCTACATTTACAGAAAAAGTTTGAAATTTGTTGTTTTGATTCGCACTAAACTAGATACATAATACAATTAAAATAGCTATATAATTCACTAACATAAACATTTATTTTTCTGTTATATCATTATCGGATAGTGCATTTTAACACACATTATGTCTTCCCCACAGAGTGATATTTACTGGTAAGTTAGGAGTATCAGCTAGCATTTATCAAAAAGTTCAGAAATGAATACGTAAAATTTCAGAGCCAATTCAATGTAATTACCTATAAAAAGTCATGAGTGTGCAGCACTCATGACTTCACTCATGACTTTTTATAGGTATTACATTCAGTATTATTCAGAAGCTCTGAATTTTTATTCAGTATATTCAGAAGCTCTGAATTGTGATAGAAATTAATAGATCGAAATTTATTTACGTTCTCTGCAACGCCCAACACATTTTTTCAATCATATACATGACGAGGCTGGGGCACATACGACATCAGTTTAATTACTGTTTGGTTATGGATCAACTTATGCCTTATCACCTATAGCACCTGGATTGCTGATTAGGAGACTAGGGAGAATAACTACTAACTTTTTTGACTGCAGCCCTAATCAGAGGAACATCCAGTATTGTACTACTGACCAAGGTTCCAGATTATCGTCAACCGTTTTTTTTTTTTTTTTTTTTTTTTTTTTTTTTTTTTTCTTTCTGGTTGTCGGATTGTAGAGATTATTTACTGGAATATTCTGGTCTCAATTACGTAGTAAGGTTGAGAATGTTAACTGAAAATAACAGCTATTTCTCCTTGTCGTGATCAAATGTGTAGCTTTGTACATAATGTAATACGTAAAATGGCATCAATTAACATGTGTCAAACTTCTGTCTCCTCTTTCAGGCTTGTATGCTGTTCTATTCAAAGACGGCTTGGTCTTACTTACTTAGCATTTTAATGTTAAAAGTCCACATTAGTTTTTAAGATGTACATTTTTTATTCTTTTAAAATTCTGTTGCTATAAATTAATTTAATTTTACTTGCTTCATAAATAGTATATCATGTGGTGGATGCATACATATTCGATTTTTTAGTCCTTATTGTTACTGTTATTTTATTATGCACCGGTTAAAATATATGCATATAGTTTTATCCAAAAATGTTCAGGAAATTTGTGACAACATTTCAAATGTCAAATAGGTCCTGTCAAAAATGCCGTTTATTATCAAATTCGTTCGAATGAGCAGTCTATAGCAACGGGATGTCACAAAACAATCTGTAAAAATTTTAAAGCAGAGCTAATTAAATGTTAATCGTAATACATTTCATATTTGCAATGTGATATATATTAGTAAAAGCGTTAAGATTCCCAATCAAGACAATAAAAACTTCTGCACAAATACGCTTCTATTTCATCACAAATGTTCAAATAAAATTTAATAAGCTCTTCGCATGCGTATATTATAAAATAAAAACTCTTTTAATGAGGATTATTACCTTAACAGTAAAAATATCTTAGTTCAAAACTTAAATCAAAATGTATATTTAAAGTACAATCAGATTAGTGAGCAAGTACAATCAGATTAGTGAGCAAGTACAATCAGATTAGTAAGTAAGTAAGTACAATCAATTAGTGAGTATTAAATACAATTAGATTAGTTTAAGTAAAAGCACAATTCATCCTTTTGCTGATACATAAAAAAGGTATCGGTTGAAAACAAGCAAACTTCTACGCACGTTATTTGTTTCTATATGAGATGATTCACAAAGATTGCGACATGCAAGAATTTCGCAAAGTTATACACATATTACTGAACTTTCCTTTGTCATTGACATCGCTCGTTATCATACAAAGTGTGACACAAAAAAAAACAAAGACTAAGTATGTAGCTTGGAAAAAGAGTGGAGTTGGCAACAACAGTTTGGGTGACGGCATTCCACACACCTCCTCTATCCATGCGGCCAGTTTCGGCCGACCACACCAGTTGGGAGTACTACGTCATTGAGTGAACATGTGCAGTTTCATTCTGCCGGCAAAATGTCTAATTTGAAAACCGAACAGCGATCAACATCAGCTTTCTTGCGAAACTTAAGAAATCAGCCACGGAAACATTTCAAATATTAACTGAGGCTTACAGAGATGAATTTTTGTCTCGTGCACGAGTGTTTTGAATAGTATAAGCGGTTTTCGGGGGAAAAGGACAAAGCACGCAAGTCAAAATCAAAATTCAAGGCAACGTTAACTGTTTTTTTCTACATAGATGGAATCGTAATGATTGAGTGTGTTACCAGTGGGCAGACTGTTAATCAAGACTACTACATTGAAGTACTAAAAAGTCTTCGCGAGCAAATTAGGGGAAAAGGCTACAGTTGGAGTGATGAATGGCTGTTGCACCAGGACAATGCACCCCGCTCACACGGCCCTATCTGTCAAGCAGTTTCTGACTAGCAAAAACGTTATTGAGATGGGACATCCTCCTTATTCACCTGATTTGGTTCCATGCGACTTTTTTATTTCCGCTTAAAGGGAAGCCATTTTACCTCAGCTGAAGAGGTTCAGGCAAAAACGGAGAATCTCCTGAAGGGCCGTTAAAAACCCTCGTTCCAGAACTGTTACAAGCGATTATCAGCACCGAGTGCAGAAGTGTGTGAATGCTGAAGGAGACTATATTGAAGGTGATAATGTCACGGGGAACTCACTCTGTAAGAACAATGATATAGTGGACCAGGCTCGTTTTTTTGTGTTACATCTTGTATTGTATTCACAATATGGTCTTTGCGTCCAAGCATAAAGGCTTCTTGAAAACTGGACATTCCACATCTCCTGTAATGAAAGGATTTGAAGCATTCTACTAAGTACTCTTGCCTATTTTAAAAATGAAGAAAATTACATGACCTTTTGTTTTGAGCGATGATCTCTGGATTGTCGTTGTTGTTGTGACTAATGCTCACTTGTCTGACCTATAGTCTGCCTAGCCTACGAAATTCCTCGTGGCAAGAAGCGCAAGATACGTTTGTCGTTGGCCACAGTCTTGAGAAGCTTACAAGTGACAGTGAGATTTAGCTCGGTTCCGTCTACAATTTTGATGGAGAGCAACCCGGGGAGTCCGAAGATCCACCACCCCTCCTCCCCTACCACCAACATCTCGGGAGCACTTTCGGCCCGTCGCATATTTAGAGTGCCCCCATATCGCATTGACACACATCCATGCGTTCTCCGGGATTCGACTTTGGATCTTTCTACACAGCGGTCTAACTACTTTACCGGTTGGGCGGCTGATCTGTGAATTAAAGTCGTGCATCATTGTAAGCAGTTTGCTTATTTTAATATTAATGTAATCGAAAATCATTTTGATCGACGGTTGCAAAAATGAAATAATTCATCATAAAATTATTATAAAAGCCGCTAAATCTACGTTATTAAATGCACTTTAATTCAAATATTTTATGTTTAAAGGGGAAACAATTATTCTGTTATAATGAGATCATTAGAAAAGTCGCTAAATCTGCATTCTTAAATTAACTTTAATCATAATATTTTAGACTTCAAAAAACATTGAAACAGTCTATGAGTTAACGAAAATAAGGCAATAAAACTAAGATATTAAAGACAGATAAAAAAAGTACTAAAATTGGTCTGGGATTTGCCTTATCAGGAACAACAGAGGTAATATATATTTCAGAATTTAATTCGCACAGCGTGAACCAGATATATATTGCGTAGCATTACTAAATATCGTTCATATTTATTGAACAAAGGATTATTAAACAAGAAACTGCGAAAGACGCTTTCACATATATTCTTCTTCTTTAAGAGGTAAAACTTCAGGTAAATGCATTATAAAAAAATTACTTTTATTATTTTTTATCTTAAAATAGCTAATCGTATTTAAAGCTTGCATTTTATTTAACTTTTGAAGGCAAATAGATCTATTAATCTAGATAGATTTATTAATCTATCTTTTATATTTTTAAATCGATGTTGCACATTTGAAGAAATCATCGTAAGACAGTGATTATTGTTATGAAGCAATTAGTAATCAGTAATGCAGTTACTAAAACATTTGCCTAAAATAATTTATTTTTCCTAGAAAAGGAAAAAATAAAAATATCTGAAAGGGTTCAGATTATAAAAGTCGTTCAAAAGATTTAATGTGATTTGTCAGTAAAATTTTTCAATGGAAATGGACCAGATGGAATAACGAAACATCTTATACGATACTAGATGGATGTACATTCACACTAACATGGGAACGTTATATATCTTCTGTATATTTGACAAATTCTAGTGCGAAATACACAGAGGGTGCTTTCGCATTTTTAGAATAATTTCTGGGCCATTTAATCGATGTTAAAAATATAACTGTTCTATCTGATAGAATTCTTTCTAGACGTTTGCATCATGGTTTCCATGAAAGAAGACCTATCGTAAAATTTCAAGGGATAATAGTTTAACGTCCTAAAACTTATACAGGTATGGACTAAATTATTTAACATTTTACTGCTTGTTTAAAATCATATACTTGCTAGAAAGAAGGATGGGTTTTACAAAATACTGAAAAGAAAAATTATTGGAAGTGAAAATGTGATTTAGATCATACTTTTTCAAAGTTTTTACCTAAAATCTGTTTTTATTTTTTTGTTCTTAGAAACTAATTCATGAATTGCAAAATCTGTCCTTGAATTTGTTAAGAATATTCTAATAAGTACAAGAAAAACCTTTTTGGGAAAAACATTAAAACTTATAGGAGAAGAAAAGCATTTTAATTGTTAAATTTCCTTTTGAAAAATGTTTAATTAAAAAAACATAATCGGCAAAAATCTTTTTCAACTTAAAATCATTTTTCTTACAAAACCATGTAATAATATTCATAAAAAGTAGATCATAGTTCTTAAATAAAACAAATCATTTAAAAGGTACCAACTCGAAAGTTTTTCGATAGACCTAATTTTAGCAGGCATTTGGGTAAATCCATGCTTCATCAAGAGTCACAGTTTATTTCAATTTATCTCCTGCTAACTCCTGCTAAAAAAACTAACATCTAGTTAGATTTTTCTTATTTTTTCCTAGGCATGACATCAAAACATTTTATTAAATTAATAAGTGTATCCAATATTTCATACCAGCCTTCAACGCCGTTTGAAAAATCATAAGATCTCAGGATATTTTTAAAGTTTTAGCTCTTGAGAACATGCATACATTTTATTCTGAACCGAATTGATTTCACATCTTTAGGGACAGTTTATTTATTGAAGGTTCGCTAAATGACGGCGCGGAGTTTTTTTCTGCTCAGTATTTCAATCTATACACCAGTGGGTTACGCGGAGATACATCTTCCGATGGCGAGAAAATGGCTATTTGCATCACTCTAAGACACATCAATGGTCCAAATTTCAGCTATGACAAAGTGGTCATTCTCTCGGACTCCAGGGCGGCACTACAGTCTATTGGATCACAGTCTTTTCCAATCTTCGGGGAAATCTTTAAATACCAAATATTTTTTGAGAAACTGAGACTATTGAGTAAAGAAACTGTACTACAATTGATTCTCGGTCATTATGGCGCTTATGGTAACGATCGGCTCGAAAACTTGCAAAACAAGGTAGAGAAATTGTTTAAAAGATATCTACAAATTGTTCTTACCGTTCCGCGAAACTATATATTCGTAATCTTATAAGGTATTTCTCCCACCTTCTTAGCATGCCTTGGTGATGTAATGATCAGCACGCTCGACGCATATTCGAGTGGTCCGTAGTACGAGTAACGACGAGGGCATTCCTTATTTTTCATCTTTCCTGCTTTGAAAAAATAACTTATGTCTGTACAATCTTTTTAAACAAAAATGGAGAGGAGAACTTATCATAAGTTTATCTACCAAGAGCTGAAGGGGAAACTTAGAAAGGGAGTGGTGTATTTAATTATGACAAAGCACACTAGGGCTATCTGCCTAAGGGAGAGCTGCCTTCGTGGAGGACTTTCTAAAGGAAATTGTCTCGTATACACGTTGTAACATGGGAAAAACCACGAAAACACCCATGCAGCCAGCCCGTTCGCGGGATTCGAACCTCGAACCGAACTACCAGTGTTAAGCTACTTTACCGCTCGGCCGCTGGTGGGCGAAACTTAGAAAGGAAATTACCAGAAAACCTGCGAGAAATAGCTGTAGCCAGTTTTAGGCTTGAAACTGGTCACGACTACTTGGCTGGTAATCTCTGTCACATTGGCGTTCTTGCCAGTTCAAACTTGCTGCCATTGGATATGAAAATAAAATAATCCATGCAGTGATGTTTCTCAAAGTTCGAATATTGAATATTTACGAATTTGAAAAGGCAATATTAATATCCATTTGATGCGCTCTCAGGAGGTCCGCGCCCTTAGTTTAATTCAAAGATGAAGTGTCCATATACGTCCCAAATTTATAAAGTAAAAATATATTTAAATGAATAAAAACAAATCAAATTTTAAATAAGAATATTAATGCGATTTCTTTGACTGCTTCTTTTTATCTATACTAATTTACTTACGTCTAAGTTAACTTTCTTTAATATGCACGTCATTTATCCCACTGCTTGAAGAGCAACATATCTCTTGAATAGAAATAGACCTCAGTGTTCACTTTATCCGTTTCTAAATTTTACATTTACTTAATGAATGTTTATAATTTATTGCCAAAGGTAAACGTTTCTTGAAATGAAAATGGTTACTTAATTATTTCCTCTAATATGAATTTTAAAAAAATCGTTCAGCAATATTCTGAATAGGATTTACTAAGTTAATGATTTATAGTTATAAATTTGTACATTAAAATTACTAAGTAGTTGTACTCTAGTCGTAGCAATAGTAATAGCAGTATTAATAGTCGCATTAATAGGAATAAACAGAAATAAAATCATTGCCCTTAATGTCTATTAATAGTAAGTCTTTTCGTTTCAGATAAATTCATAGCACGGATTTCATTATGAGGAAGACATCGTCGAGAAGAGAGTCATGTCTTCAAACCCCGAAGGGAATGACAAGTAAACCACAAATCATCAAAAATTTACTCATATTGTCATCTGGATTCTTACTCTTATTTACAGCTTATGACGGACTGTCGGTTTTGCAAAGCACAATGAATCGAGAACAAGGCATCGGAGTGGCTTCTCAAGCCACTTCATATGTCTCTTTTTGTGTATCTGCTTTACTTTTTCCTAAATATGTCATTCAAAAATTAGGATGTAAAACTACAATTGCCCTATCTATGCTTACTTACCTACCTTACATATCATCTAATTTTTATCCCCATTGGATTCTGATGATACCTTCTTCAATACTTAGTGGCTTAGGGGCATCCTTACTTTGGGGAGCTCAATGCACGTATCTGAATGAAATTGCGAAACTCTACTTTCAGGCTTCGTCAAAAAAGTGTATCTCAGATTCTGCTAAAGATGATGAGAACAAAATCGTTACAGGAGAAGAGAATTTAATCAGAAAATATTCTTTCTCGATTTTAAGATGTGACAGCGATAAACGACTGAGAACTCATGCCACAACTTCTTTACCAAACATTTTTCAAACACAAGAACTGAAAATTTCTAATCCAAAGATTAAAATCTCCAATAATATGCTGCACAAAGAGGAGATTAGCTTACTTGTAAATGTTCAAGGCAGCAGCAACTTTGCAGGACTAAATGCTGTTAAAGGAAATACTGACAATCAGGATAATGCTTTAAAAGATGGTTTAAGTATTGAAATATCTGTCTTAAATATGAAACCCCCATCTTCTATAAGCGTTCTACACTTTGAAAGCAAAGGATGCTGATAGTGATATTCCTGCTCTGCAGTGCAATAACTCAAGTAAAATTCAATCGTGTCGCGAAGCTGTTTTTTTCACATTCTAAAGAAAAATTTGATAACTATCCCCAGGATGCAGCTGATTTACCAAATAAATCTGTACCCAATATTAAGATTCGTAATCAGCACCTGGTTTTCCTAACCAGCGCTGTCCTTCTTAAAGACGGACCACGGAAATCCAACTCTCTTGATTCTACAATAGCACGCTTTTTTGGCTTCCATGGATTGGCTTATTTCTCGACACATATTTGGAGCAATTTAATGTCTTATTATATTTTACGGACTGGTGATATGTCCCAAACTATCATCAGTAACTTTAGCTGCGTATGCGGAGAAACGAAGAAAAGCTTTTGCAATATTGAATCAAAATGTTTTGAACATAATTTAGCAGAGCTAAGTCTGCGTTTGAGATACACTTTGACAGGTATTTGCTCTTCACTCGCTGTTTGCGCTGTACTCTTGATTGCCTTATTGTTGGACAAATTAGAGATAGATAAAAAAGAAGTAAACTTTTCTTTGGATTTGCTGATGGCTACTTGTCGACTAGCTAAAGCGAAAGAGCAAATTCTCTTGATTCCTTTATCGTTTTACGTTGGTATGGTGCAAGAATTTTACTCAGGAGACTTCACAAAGGTAATTTAAGTGAATATTTTTATTAAGAGGTCATTATATTGCTTAGAAAATCTATTTTTAATTTTTATGGCTTCATTTTATAGTTTTTGTTCTTTGATTTTTTTTTACCTTGAAGAGGTTTCTCAACTTGAACACTGAATTTTCTGAAAAACATACATATGTATCTACTCGTTACAAAATAGTTAAAAATTTAACTGGTAGTATACTGTAAATAGACATGTAACATACTTTAAAATATGACAAGCCTTAACGATGCCTATATGGTGAATTATGGAAATTCCAAAATGTAATTTTGAAACTCTGGAAATTAAACAAGATGATCGATTGATTCAACGAATGAATAAAATAAAAAGTAAAGATATAAAAAGAGAAAAATGCGTACTTCTGGCTATCAGAATGCAACAGGGTAAACTGAAGGAATGATTTAAATGTTTGAAAGGAGGCCAGGATATAAAAGTTCTGGAACTCGTGAATCTTAACCGTAGAATGATATCTCATACTTCAGCCATTTTAGCGCGTTTTAAATATTTCACGTTTACATGATTATTACATCATCATTTCTGATGGCGTGTTGAATAAAAAACGAAGATAAGATTTTAAAAACGTATTTGTATATAGAACATACTGTTTTCTTCAGTTAACGAAATGAATCGAATTACAAGTTTAACAAATGAAAAACCCACTAGTCTCCAAATAATAACACTGTTCAGTAGTAGTAGTTCTGCTTCGATTTAAGTCCCGGCAAAGGAGATCGTTTAAATAAGTTTTTTCATACGCTTAACCATGCATAACGTGAATATGAGCTAGTATTCTTTAAAGTGTACTTCCTTTCATTTTACGATTACCGGATTTCTTTCTCCTAATAAAATAATTACTGCTCATATTTTAACTGCCGTAATTTTCTTGAACGTATAAGAAACTACATTTCTTTTTTTAGTTCTACTTATTGTTGTTGTTATTTTAAGTATGGACAGAATTTTACCGCCTTAACTTTATAATCCCTTGATATGCGACTGGGGTACATTTCAAATTCAGTATCTGAAAAAATATATCTGATTTCAATTCACATGTATTATCCGTTTCATTTTCTCAGCCAGTGTCTTCAACCGGTAAGGCAAGGAATTCTTCTGTAACTTCAAGAACCGTAATTTCTCTTGGAATTTTCTATTTTTTTTAATTTAAAAAAACAAATTTTTCAATTAAATGTCCTCTTTCATACAACGTGTTGATTACAAATACCTGGCGGTATAATCTTAAAACATTTAGATAATATTGGATTTATACCACCAAGCAAAGATATAATTTAGAATTAAAAGTCTAAAAGTCTAATCTAACATTTTATAAATTTAAGACTTTGTCTGCAAGTAATATTTGCAGCTTACAAAAATATAAAAACATTTATCTCCCTCTCCCAAGAAAATAAAGCAAAAAAAAAAAACAAAAAAAAAAAGAAGAAAGAAAGAAAGAAACGAAATGCGTTCCCTTTAAGCGACTATAAGATGTGCCCCAAAAAGTCCTTATACATCCTTTATGTTCGCAACTGTTGATCGTAAACGGAAACTTCCAAATACAAGACGTTTTAAAACGCAAATATTCATGTTTTGGGCTTTTTAAATTCAAAGACAATTATTTTTGTGAGGTTCACGAAATCTGACGATTTCTGCCTTCCTCCTGTCCCTATAAAATTATTTTAGAAAATGTTATAACCATTATAAAAATAAAGCACAAAAATTTGGGCACCCGTACGAGAAACACTAACCGATATATTTAATTTCAAAATTTGCCATTCTGAAGCCCTTTTCAGTTTGCATTGAGAGATCTGTTAATAATTTAATTAGAATAATTCAAGGTTTGATGTTTTCCCCTTTAAATGCCGTTTTATGATATTCTTTTGTCATTTTATATGAGTGCATTTATTTATAATTTTGTTGCATTTGGTATTACGAAAGAATTTTTACCCAAATAATTCATAAGTATTGGAAGAAGAGTTTTGCGATATTCATGAAGTTTTATTTTAGGTGCTAATACTAAAACTTACCAGTGTTTTCTAGAACGAAAATTCTATAAGATTATGTAAATAAGATATCTACTTTGAAAAAAATTATAATGATTAATACTTTTTGAAACAATATGCACAGAAATACTCCTCACTTATCTCCGAACATCAAAAACCTTTTTCCTAAACTGATACTTCATATTCAGTTACATACAAATGCAAACATTTCAGTTTATGTGTGGCCCTTGAATATAATTCCATATTGTAAAATGAAATATCTCAGTCAATTTTTGTTTTACGGGATTCAAACATTTTGTGTTTCATTTTTTATAACAAGCACAAAATTTTCCTAAACATAAGTATAGGGGCCGGAGGAACGTATAAAAAATGAGATTTTGTAATTTTTGCAAGACTGATTTCTGGTTACAGAAAAAAAAGCGAATTCTTAATACACGCAGAATCCTGAAAGAAACTTTACTTCTGATGCCTAATCATTATTTTGTATAGTCATTAGATAAATTCGGAGGCCGAAAATGAGAAAACACAACCATGTCCTCACCAGGATTCAAACTCCAGACTTCCTGTATGTCAACTGCATGCGGTTCCTATTGCATCACCAAATCACACGGAAAAATAGGAGACAATATCATACACATTGTAAGAAAAGAAAAGGTTCTTTAAAATTCTTGATTTATTTTAGTTGTTCCATTTCCACGAATTTAACGGTAAATTTAACTTATAGCTTTCTTTTTTAAGGGCGCAGAGCTAACTGTACGTTCCCTAGAATCTGCTTTATAATCCACTTGTGCAGTTTTATTAAAGCAATTAAGAAGTATTTCCGTTCAACTGGTAAAATTACTGAAAATAAAATTTAATGTACAAAGCACCAAAAATGTTTCCTAGCTAAGAAACAACAATATTGAAAGGGTTGAACTAAATCGATGTTAACAGGAAACTGAAAATATAAAAATCTTATCTTTTTTCGCTATAACGCAGCACTATTTTAAAGATTTTATAAAATTTTAAAATTCTGCAAAATTTTATTAGAAAGTTCGCTATTAGTCTATATTTATTTTTTTTCTCACGATCTACACCCTACAGAATATTAGTAGCCAAACTTTTGTATTTTTATGTCAGTCCAGAACAGTAAGTTTGTTATATTTCTCGAGAAATTTGAAAGCCCCCAAACTTTTAAAGGCCTTCCTTGTTAGTACAGTATCTCAACTTTTTAGTTTCCCCTCTCCAAAGTTTTTACTTGTCATTTGATTTCGAGTTTTCTGCCATAAAATCTGTTTTCTACGCCTTTTCTTCCGAAAGTGATGTTTTTCAATCCTAGTTTAAATTTTTCAGTTTTTATTACTGTCAGTTTTCTTATTTTTGTCGACCTATTCCTCGACAATGGGTAAGTTATTATAATGTATAAAATATTTTGCCCTAATTTTAACTAACATTTAATGAAAACTCAATTTTTTTGAACCTTTAATCTGGATGATTAGTCATTTCTTTGTAAATGCAATGAATGTAATGTAAAATGTAATGAAATATTTGAAATGCAATTTGGCACTTTTCCTGTTTAAATTTTCCAATCAGTACCCTTATTCGTATCATTTTCTAACTCTTCTCATCCTTCTTAAGCTATTTATTGGGCATCTTAAATCTACCTTATGGAAAAAGGTAACCGGCAAGCCTTTTTTTAAATCAGCCATTTCGTGTCTCCCAGAATCTCTCCAACATTCCCAACGCTTTTCGAAATTAGAGTATTTTAGCGTACCATTTCAATGCTAAATGATATATAGGATAGAAGCAACTGGCATTAATTTATCCGGAAAAGGCTTTTGGCTTTCTCTGCATTTAAAAAAAAAACATTTTTGTCAAGCTTAATCTTTCCAGAAATCTAAATAACAGAAATAAAATAATGATACATATAAATAGAAATAATTTACATATGAGGTTGTTTCCCTTTAAAAAAACTAAAAAGACCGCCAATTCGTCATTGTTATTTATCAGTTTACTAGGTACAGTAAACCCTCGCCGAACGCCGACTTGCAAAAAAAGCATCCTGCAAACGATTAAAAAGCTATATCATAATTAAGCTATGTTTTATTATTCTACATCATAACACATATAGCATACATAATTTTCTACAAACATTGACAAAATAAACTCTTAACAATATTTCCTTAATTGATTAATTTTAATTAATTAATTGTTTCTTAAGTCCTAATTTATTAATTAAATTTGGTTAACTCAAAGAAGGTAATAATTTAGAACTTTACTAATAAAAGCTAAGTGGCATAAAGTGAAAGTTTATAAAACAGGGAATAACTGAATTTAATTGTTCAGTTACTGAAATCTTAACACCAAAATTTCCCAACTAGAGACCTTTTACCAAGAACTCTAATTCAATCAAAATTTTACATCGCATATATTCTCCGTGCCACTAGAAGTCTCTATTAGGCGTCTATTTAAAACTTTTATTAAATTTACGCAAGGTGTTTCAGTGTAGTTGGAATTTTGTCGTCGATTATTAACCTACTTTCTGACAGCTATCAGTTCAAATTTTGTACGTACACTGATAGTTGAAAAAAAAATGCAATGTGAAGAAAGTGTTTTTCGAATGTGGTGAGGGATTTTTTTTCAATAGAGCGGAAAAAAATCTTTACAATGAAATTTGTATGAAAATTATAATTTAAAAACAAATTTCCGGCTAATTGCGAAGCACATGCTGTCTGACCGTGTTATCATGAACATCAATTTGAATGAAACACGCACATTAATGAGTTACAGGTCGAATGAATGGTTATAAGTCGAAAGTTAGATTACTAGTTATTTCTAATCTTGTAAAATTTAATTAATTTCTCGTATGTAAAAGTTACCATTCTAGACATCCATTCGTTTAGAATTAAGTGATAACAGAAGAAGTGTGCGCTTAGCTCTTTTGATTCGAATGATAACAATAAAACATCGATACAGTTGACAGAGCACTTAACAAAGTTTTCTTCAAATTTCTAATTTAATTCCACGACTATTTGTTTTGCGACTTCATTATATCTAGGTATGTTTATTTCGTGTAATGATACACTCATAGCTATTCTACATATTTATTCAGCTCAGTTAGCTAGTGACTAAGGCTCATTCTGAGAGCGAAATGTGATATAAAATAACTTATGACACTGTATCATGAAGGGCCAGTCAACACATGAAGAAACCTAAATCAAGATAATCACGCTATTCAGCTGTAATGCTTCTAATAGAATTTTTACAATTTTCTTATTCTTCAAATTGTTATCGTTTTATGAAAAATAGTAACTATATGTGACTAGTTTTTTAATCACGTAAATCAGGAGCTGTTTCTTGATGGTTTCGGAACAACAAAAATTTGATGATATCTTTTAAAACCTATTACTATATAATAATATTATAAGAAGTAAGCAACAATAATAAAAATTAAACTGTACTTATACCTACATATTAAAAATATTAATTTGTAACTAAACATTAAAGAGGAATTATTTTTCCTTAAATTAATATTGCATGAGATTTAATTGGTTATTCCTACCTCGTTTCACCTGCGTTTACAGTTACAGGTGTGAATTGCCATTTATCAAACAGCTCAGATATTCAGAAGTTCAGAGGTGATAGAAATTAATCGATCAATGTTTTATTTACGTTTTGTATAACTCCCATTACATTTTTTTTTTCAGTCATACATAGGATGTGCCTGGGGGACGTACCACATCGATTTAGTTACGGTCTGCTATGGATCAACTTGTGCCTTATCATCTACAGCATCTGGATGGCTGATTAGGAGACTAGGGAGATTATCTATCTTTTTGACAGCAGCTCTAATCAGTGGAGCTTCCACTATCTTATTACTAACCTGGATTCCAGATCCTCGTCAAACATTTATGTTCTTTTTGGTTGCTGGATTGTGGGGATTATTTATTGGAACTTTCTGGTCTCAGTTGTGTGGTAAGTCCCAGTATGTCATATAAGAATAATAATATTTTTTTTATTATATGAAAAAATGTGTGCTTTTGGATGCCATTATGTTACACTTGCTCATTATCGTCTCTCTTCCTTTTCAATGGGTGTTCTCTTCAAAGGAGATGAAGAAAGCTGTGGTGCTTTGCGAGTTCTATTTGTGGTACTCTTTGGATTTACATTCTTTTACAGCAACTATTTATGCACTTTCTCAAGATTTGGATGCTTGGCTTTTCTATATATGGTTTGGATATATTTATGTTGAAATATCCTGCTTTAAAAATAAAATAAAATTATGAAAATATTTGTTTACTATTTTTAATCATGTGTTCTGAATGAAAAGGAATTTTGAAAGCAAATTTATGTTTTCATGAGATAGACATATGTTACAATCTAAAGCAGGCATTCGGAGTAAACTTGACTGGAAGTTAAAGCGCATATAAATTCGGAGCTTAAAGATGAAGATTTAAGCATTTATTGCAAAAATCTTAGATCACAAATTGAGATTTTGCGAATTAAGATCACGCAGTTTGAAATCTGATGAATGATTACAAGTTTGGTTGGAAACATATTTCATTATTCTTCCCAATTTCAATTGGTTCGAGTTTAAAAATAATTCAGTATCATGAAGGAATCAGCAGATTAAAAAAAATAAGCCTCGTGTTATTGATTCCAATGTAAATAAATTATTTAAATTTCAGATCAATACAGCCGGGTTACAGCACAAATCGCTCTTTGGTGAAACTACCACTCAGAGCCTTGATACAATACGGAATCTAATCAAAGAGGTTTGCAGTGGATTTCTGAGTTATTGCTTTCCGGATTGCTTATTGACCGATTCCACAGCTCACTGGTCTTACTGTTTCAGGAGAGTGATGTCGAATGTCCAATTTCCTTACACGATTTTCGGGGGATTTGGAAATGGATGAACTAAAGAAGAAATAGGTATCTGCTTCTGCGTCTACTTGTATCACCGTCTTTCATTCGTTCAATATAATTTCTAAACTGGGTGGTGAAAAATAATCCTCATCTTAATATCGCCTAATAGTACTTGTGTGGACGTCACTGTAGTCTGTATTAAAGAAAATATCCTCAGAAAGCATGATTTGTTGCGATTATGTTGTGGATGGTTCATGGTCAATGGAGCCCTTCATAACTAAATGATTACATGCTTCTGTGCAGCACAAAATTATGGAATTAGAGAAAGTAGAGCCAATAGTAGCATATTTCCACCTATTCTATAGTGTTGTGCTAATACTCGAAAAGAAGCTACGCTTTATCGCCATACAAATAAGATGTCTATTATTATTTATTTGTTGGTTCATTATTTGCACTCGGCACCCCATGACAACAAGAGGCCTGCTATTATGCTTAAAGTGTTATTAAGTGTCTTATGAACGAGAAAGTATGATAACTGTACACTGTGGCCAACGACCGAGAGGGCTGAACAGGCAACATAATTTAAACGTACGTTTTTTGCTGTATGGGCATACAAGTCGCGTCAAGGAAATACATTGGAATTCTGCATTGCTACAGGTGAAGAGTGTATCATAGGCTTTAAAGCTTATGATATACTGTTCATGTGCATAAATTATAGGATTATCTACATCAATTTCATCAACATACATACTGTGCGAGATATTACAGAAACATTTTACGGGATATATACAAATCTCAAAATAATAATTCACAGAAGTTTGTACATACTATTAACAAGAATACGGCTTAGACATAGTGAAGAAATATTTATGTTAAAGGGTAGAGATGAGTCTACTAATGATTTAAAAATAAGAATAAATAAAAAATAAGGTAAATATTAAACGTTGCTCCACTTCCAATTTATCCAGTTCTCTTCAGTCCTCTAGTTTGCCATATGCGTGCCTGTCATGGCATTACGTCCCTTACGTGTGGTAGGAAAATGCTCTTTCGCGTAGGTTTCCCATGGGAAATCAATATTTTACTGATGTGGTGCTCTTACTTGCTGATGAACTATAAAAAAGTTTCGAGCTCACAATAGACTATAAACTACTTGCCTGACTCTGTTTCTGGGTCTCTCCCGACCAAGACATGAATTTTGATGACATGCGCATTTTTTAAAAATTGTTTTAGTATTTTCTACTTTTGAAACGTTTTCTAAACTTTAGATTACTTTTCGGGCTTTTTAGAGCATTTCAGAGCATTTTGAGGTATGTTTTAGTAATCATACCGAAAAATAAAGTCACCTTTGAAATAACACTGTCTCAGTTCCTATGAACTCATTTGTACTAAGCAGACATATCCACGGAAAATTGATTATGAAATCTGTTGGTCCTGTCTATCTTGACAGGTTGCATGCTTACAAGGTATGAATGTCACTTCTATGGATTTTTTCTTATTGGCATTTCTGAATTATTTAAGACATTCTGTGCATGTTCAGTTCTATAAGATTCATGAAATCAAACGCATTCATGAAATTACACACACACACACACACAAGTCAACTCTCTCATCAACGCAATGTCTAAAAGTCTGTTGTTATAAATTAATTCAATTGAACTTTCCTTTTTTATTGAGATCGCTCATCATCATATTGTACTGAAAATATTATCTTTACTTCCATCCATAAAGGTAACTTGAAAACTGGACATTGTACCTTTCCTGTAATGAAAGGAGCTGAACTCTTTCAAACTCTGCTCAAAAACTCTTGCCTATTTTAAAAAATGAAGAAAATTACATGGCCTTTTACTTTGAGCAATGATCTCTGGATTCAACTCGTACATCTTGGTAAGCAGTTTGCTCATCTGAATATTAGTGTAAGGCATTTGATCGGCGGTTGCAAAAAGGATATAATTTAGTATAAAATTATTATGAAAGCCGCTAAATCTAAGTTATTAAATGTAATTTAATTCTAATATTTTAAATTTTAAAGGAAAAAAATTATGTTACAAAGGCATCATTAGAAAAGTCCCTGAATTTGCATTTAAATGTACTTAATATTTTAGACTTCAGAAACTATTATAGGTTTATGTATTAAAGAAAATGAGATATGATTATCTCATTTTTTTATCATCTTGTTAATAAAATGCAGACATGTTAAGGACATAAAAAGCACTAAACTTGGCCTGCAGTTGCCTTATCAAAGACTGCAGAGGTAGAATATTGCAGAATTCAGTTCGCACAGCGTAAAAACAAATTTGCATATTACGTAGCATTACTAAATATCGTTCATATTTATTGAACAAAAGAATTAATAAGAAACTGCAAAAGAAGCTTTCTAAAGATTATTCTTCTTTGAGAGGCAAAATTTCAGGTAAATGCATTATTATGAAAAGATTCTATTATTATTTTTTATCTTAAAATACTTAATCGTATTTCATGCTTGCATTTTATTTAAGTTTTCTAAAGCAGATACAGTATTATTAATATGTCCTTTATATTATTAAATCTATGTTATAAATTTTCTGAAATCATCGTTAAACTGTTATAAAGGATTAGGTTATCAATAAATTGTCCAATTATTACAATATATGCCTAAATAATTCATTTTTCCTAGTAAAGAAAACGACAAAAATTTCTGAAGGGCTTCAAATATTTACGGTCGCTCAAAAGAGATTATCATTAGAGATGGATCAGTGGAATAACAAAATTTTTTTTTTAAATACTAGATGGATACTCATTTAGACTAACATGGGATAACGCTATATATTTTCTGTATATTTGAAAACGATTTAGTCAAAATATGCAAAGGATGTTTACACATTTTAGAACGAATTCTCGGCCGTTAATTAATGTTTAAAATGTGAATATTCGAACTGATATAATTCTCTTTGGATTATAGTGGTTTTCATGGTAGAGAACGTTTCGTAAAATTTCAAGGAGTACCAGTTTCTCTTCTTCTTTCACTACTTTTCAGAGTTAACGAATTGTGAATTTTTTGCTCTTTGAATGAGCTATTTGCGAGAAACCAAAAGGAAAAGGTCCATAGGTGAAACTTCAGCGGACTTCGCAAGATTACATTCAAAGTACATATATAAAGTACTTGTATTAATATTCCTTTTTTTTTTTTTTTTTTCAAGGAGGCAGTGGCACCTTTCGAAGTAAGAGCTGTTGCTCTGTCTTCACAAAGTTTCACTCTTTGAAAATCATTCTAATAAAGTAATGTAATTTCTGCCGTAAATGTCGTAAAGCTACTTACAATTAAGTAGAGTACCTTCTCCATGTATAAATGCAACAGCTATTTTTGAGCTGTATGCCGATTTCAGAAAAAAGACAGGAATTAGAAATTTAATAAATTTATAATCTGAAAACATAATGGATTTCATAGCGCACATTCAAATGAATTTATCAACGTTTCCTTGAAGAGTTTCTCTAAATATGCATGTTCTAAATACTTTTATTTATCTGAAGAAGTAATTTAAGCTTTATTGCTATTTTCTAGCATGTGAAATGGGGAAATGTAAGTAAATGGAAGCTTCTGAAATGCTTCAGTAATAAATATGCAAACAAATATTAAACATCACACAATATGAATTTGTCTACACATCGTGCTATGTCAATTTAATATTGAGAAGGTAAATAATTTTTGCAAATATTTTAAGAACTAACATTATTTGCAATTTTTATCTAATAATTAGCTCTTTATTTGTGATAAATAGCAAAGACAATTACCAAAGCTGTTAAAATTGAGAGACAATTTGCAAGAAATAATTTTACAAATACTAAAAAAATTATTTGGGAAATCGTTAAATTAGAATCTATATATTTCTAATATCTTTGTGTGTTTAAAATGAATAAGACATTTCCCTTTATTGCATATATTTCACTTTAGCTTTTTTTTACC